GGCCGAGCTGGAGTCGCAGCGGCAGGGGGGGCAGCTGTCCCTCTCACCCCAGACTGAGCCCCCGGGAGCCTCCGTCTCCAAATAACCTCCTGGGCCAGGTCCCGCAGGGTGCCCTTCCTCGGGGGGTGCCTGACCCTCCCAGCTTCGTGCCACCCGTCTGCTTGGCACCCCCTGACCAGCTCATCTGGGAAGCGGACTCCTGCCTCCCAGGGGGCTCCGGGCTCTGTCGGCTGAGGGGGGAGAGGAAGGACTGTCCCATACCATGACCCTCTCACTGGGGAGATGCCCCCCGCCTGCTGCCCCTGCTGCCGAGGATGGTGCCCCGGGTGCATGGGAGGATGTGGCCGCTGCGATCTGGCTGTTGTGAAAAGACCTTTGCAGCTTTATGACCTCTCCCTGCCGCGATTGACAGTTACTGTGGAGCTCCCCTTGGAAAACCTGCTGACTTCTTTTTCTCTCTCCTGTAAACAAGGGTCCAGCCAACACCATTTCTTCAGGGAGAGAAAGACAGAATTATTATTTTTTTTAAAGTTAGTGTCTGTTTTAAGGACTATGGATGAAAAGCTTTTTCTCACAAATCCTTGATCTCCTCCCCTGCCCTTTTTTTTTTTTTCCCCCCTTTTGTTTGTGGAGGGCCTTTCTGGTACCTTGTGCTGGCGAGGATCCCTGCCTTGCCCAGGGGAGGGCAAAGGACAGATAAACTGGAAACCTGAAGTCTGTGGCATTTTTTCTGCACAGAAAACATGGGACCCTCCTCTTCTGCCTTAGGGTGTTACAGATGCTGCCAGTAGGAATCTTTATGGTGCTGTTTAGCAATCTTTTTGTTGAAACATTTTCCCTTTAATTGTGATTTATTATATGATTATTTTTTTTTCTTCTATAAGCATTTCTACAACTTCCCCGTGTATCTCTCGAGTTCCCGCTGAATGTGTGCATGTTGTGTCCCGGAACAGAGAGCACGTTGCAGAGCCTGCAAGATGCTGACCGCGGGCTGCTGCTGGGGGTGGACGCAAAGCTCAGACTGTGAAATTTTGTATCCAACTTCTTTATTTTCTTTTTTTTTTTTTAAAACCATTTGGAAAGAGGCGTATTGTGGGCATGGGCATGTGTGTTCTTCTGCAAGTGCAGCGCTCACTGCCTGCAGACCGAAGTTCCTGGAAAGCAGAGTTGTCTCATGAGCCAAGTGCTGATGAACTGCCCTGGGAACGCGGAGGGATGGAGTCCTGTTGCTCCCCTGTCCCCTCCCTCCTGCTCTCGCTCTCCAGGGCTGAGCGATGTTGTGCAGTGCTGGTGACCTCTAGTGACAAGCTGGTGTCTGCTGGGAGCTGGCTGGGAGGTTTTGGGGCTCCAGGGCAGTTCACGGCTGGGCATCGCTTGGCGTCACTGAGCAGGAGCCCGGGTGCTGCGCTGGTCCTGGGACTGAGATATTGCTGTTTCACTATAAAATGTAAGTTAAATAGCGATACATATGCACCTATGTTATCCTGAGAAACACTAATCCTAGGTAATTAGCCTGATTATTAAATTGCATGACTAGAGATAATAACGTCCACAGGATCTGGTGCTCTGCAGTGGTTGGAGCCAGCAGTGCTGGGGGAGCAGCACACTGTGGGGTGATGGGGCCTGGAAGGGAAAAGCACTGATTTTTTGGGACTGGTGGTGTTGTCCCCCCTGCCTTTTCTTCAGCGAGGAGGTGACAGGGGAGAGGAGTTTCTGAGTGCTATCTGGGGCTGAAGGAAGGCTTGCCAGTACTGTGTCGCGATGGCCGGGTGTCCCTGGGCAGTGCAGGGATGGCTCCAGCTCCGGCACTACCTGGCTGGGCAGAAGGCACCGCTTCAGGGGATGGTCATCACGTGGCCATGAACATCCCCTTCCTCATCTCTCCCAGCTCCACTTTATATCCAGCCTTTGCCCTCTGCCTCCTTTCTG